AAAGAGCTAGGGAAATCAATGCATAAAACCCAAGGATACATAAACTGAGTTCAAGGAAGCATTTAGGATTGCTTAAAGAGGCTAAACTTGTATACATTTGACTCATTAACAACCCTACTCCATAGAGTAAATTTTTCTAAAAAATACAGTTTGTTGTCCAAATTCAAGGATATTTTGGGCTAACTTAACATTATTTATGAACTGAATGCCTTCAAATGTCATTTCCCTACTTATTCCCTCACACAATTAGGAATTTATGACAAACAACAGACTTGCATCAGGATCAGAAATCACTTTATCTGTGCTATAAAAACTTCTTAGACTACTGTTAAAATAGATGCCACACAAAACACATGCTGCACAGATTAGCAGATACTAGTAACAGCTATTACATGTACTTGTTTTATTTCACTCACTTTGGACTGAGGCAGAGTTACATTTCTTAACAGAAGCTGGTTTAACTTACTGAGAGTTGGGTGCAGGCTTCCAAAATTGTAGAGAATTATTTACAAGTGACTCACAGATCAGTTTTTGCATGCCTCCTTGCTTTGTGCTGTATATACAAAGCTCTAAAACTCTATTTTTTCTTTTTTTGGGTGGCAGAGTGAGGCACTGTTCAGGTGTTTTTTTCTTTAGGAGGGGTTGCTTTGTTCTGTTTTTACATTTGACGTTCAGAAACATGAAAAGTCTATCACCTGGCTCATCTGAGAAAAACTTCCTACTGCTGAGACTTGTATTATGAAAAAATTACAAGCTGTTGACCCCTGAGATAGATAACAACTGGAAAACTAGTGGCATAATGAAATCATGGGAGGCAGGACACTGGAGCATGAAACAGCTGAGATGTACATTTAAGAAACTTTGTTTCTAATTGAAATACATATTTACTTTAAAATGACAAAAAATGAATGCTAGTAATACACTTTTTTTCCACAAGGCTTTCCCAAGGAAAGTGAAGTTGACATTCACTGCTACATGGAAGCTAACACACATGATAAAATACATTTTTTCCTTGTCATTTCCTAGTATTTTTCATCACTAAGGAGTAATTCTCAGATTATCATACTAATCTCTTTCACTAAATTCTGGCCCAATAAAGACACCCTCAATTACTGAGGGCAGTGGTGGCCCTTCATTTTTAGTTTTTTCCGTTGTTTGCCTTTTGGCATTGAGAGTTGCTCCAACATTACAATGACATAAATATCTATAAGGAATGACAAGAGAGTTATTTAAAGAGCTTCAGATTTAATCTAATTCTGTCAACTAACAGATCCTTGCAACATCATAAAAAATTTAACACAAAGCTAACATTTTCCTCTTTTTTCCCCAGCAACGTTTCATTCAACAGGTGTAAAGAAAAGGTTTTAAAACATCCATTACCTTATTCCACTCACTTATTATTCTCAAAAAAACACAATACTCTTCTCCCAGCTTTAAAGGAGCATTATAAAACTTCCCGTAGTAATGTCTGTCTCCCAGAGCAATTGACATGTTATCAGCAACATCCTTCGCCTGAAATTCAGCTGCCACATATCCTTTAACATCAGTGGTGTTACTAAAGAAAGTTGCAGCAGCAAAGGAGTCACAAATAAAAGTGCTTTGCAAACCCAGAGGAAGCACAATCACTTGATAAAGACTAGAGTGAAACAAAAAAGATAAACGTTAGCCCTCACTTCAATATACTAAGCATCAGACAATCATTAATTCACATTGCCTCTTAACTGCTTTTTATTATCAATGTCCAATATGAATGCTTTTTATACTAAAATATTTCTCTGTGTCTGTGTTCCACTACGTTTTGGACCAAAACTACTGCATGCACAGCTTAGAGCTGGTTCTCCTCATCACATGCACATTAACTTAACATGTCTATTCATGTTCAGAATAGCATCAAACTGAGTTATTGCAGGCTATCTCTTGCTCCTCTCATCTAACACATAAGTTCACCTATGAAAAAATACATCATTGGCCTCTAAAAATGATTGATAATTTCCCAGAAACAAGACTTTTTCTGTTTAAAGAAGGAGAGGACAGATACCATTTGTAAAAAATTAATCAAATCTGTCTTCAGACCACTCAAAACAATGTTTAGCCTATGGTATCCAACCACAGGAAGACTAATTATTAAGGCTGTTAACACTAGTCATTTCCTGAAACAGTAGTAGCTTTCAAATATTTTCTGCTTTAGTGTAATGTTGAGTTATAATTATCTTTTCCTTCTAACACAAACAGCACTTAGTAAGGTATAAATCCTTTTTCTCTAGTTATATATTTTGGTAGTAATACACTACGAAAACACTACTTCAGAATATGCATAAATATAGACATTTTTCACTATCTCCTCCGGCTCCTAGGAAAAAAAAAATGTACTGGCTGAATGAGTTTGTTGGAAAAGAAAAAATCACACAGGTAGAGCTGTGCTTGGATCCATCAATAAAAATCTACTGTGACTTCACAGTGGACGGAGGGGAAAAAAAAAAAAACAACAAAATCAACAGTGAAAACTCAGAATTATCAAAACCAGAATTTTGTTCCAGAAAGCAGGGAAGAGTCTGAAGCCAAATATTACTCTGCTAAGGGAGGAGAAACTGGGAGTTACAGCTTAAGTTTTCTCCCATTGCTAACAAAAATAATCTAACCCCCACAAAAAGTTCCAATATGTAAGTAACATCAATCTGCAGAATGTTTTTTGAAAGGGTGAAGAGTGCACAGAGACAAACCTGATCGGTCCATTTCGATCTTCTGCTTTACGGAGCGTGAGCAAGGGTGCAGGACCTTTTACTGCAACAAATTCTACATCTGGGAAAGGGGGATCTAAAAAATAAACAAATATCAGTGCTTCAGAGAGGTTTTAGAAATATTTCAGGCATGAGGGTTCCTAGCTATTTTTTCCCCAAAAACTTCCTCTGTTAACCGAGTCCCAAAACCCTGACGGCTAAAGTCTGCAGGCAACATAAATAGTCTCGTCAAGAAAAACAGAGCAAATACCTGCATGACAGCATGGCAGCCCCAACTCAAACCCCTGTATTGAAGTATATCTGCTAGCTGGGAAAAACAGAGATGCCCAAAAATGATGGTAGACTACAGAGAAATGAGACAGGAAAGATTTGTTGCAAGAAGCAGTATTATTTATTAGACTAGCTGAAACAGTCAAGGAGAAGAAAAAGATGAAACTCCAGGCACACCGCCCACTACAAGAAATAAAATGGTATGAATAAAGGAGAATCTATTAGCGCCAAAAGCACTTCCAAGAAGGCAACTTCCTTAGTTACTGCTCACAGTCAGCTAGCAATATCCAGCCCCTTAAATTGCATTTCAATATGGGTACAGAGTTCTAATTTGTTTTAGTGGGAATTTGCATCAAGGCCAAAACTGAACAAACACTTCTGCCTCTAATTTCAATGGCAATGATGACAGCTGTACACTGACAGAGACTGGTGCTGTGATAATGGAAATTACCACTCTCAGCTTGGAAGCAAGAATGAAAAGAGCTTCAGTGTGCAAACCAAAGGGGCAGAGTGTGAAGCATGGATACTATCTACCCCAGAAGTCTGAAAGAACTAGCACAGATATTTACTGGTACAGCTAGGCTGTTGGAAAACTGGTCTATCAAGCTGCTGATGTGGTATCTGACTAAAGAGTAGCAAATGCAGTGCTTATATACAGCAAACCAAGGCTTCAGAGCACCGTTAGAAAGAATAATCAATGTCATGGAAGCAAACAAAAGAAAACCAATGCAGGTTTGTTGAAATTAAGTCACATCAGGAAAAATCTTGCTGACATGCATAGGTTTTTCAAACAGCTGGATAGCAGTACATACATGTTGAAACACAGAAAATCATTAGTTCAGCAAGAGAAAATGAGGCTTGGTAGAAAAACTGTGAAATGGATAAATAACTGGTAAATAGGGAGCTAGCAAAATACAGCATGTTGGAAGAAGTACTGGGGCACAGGAAGGTTATTAGAGGAGTTCCTCCAAGACTAAACAAAGTAAGTACTAAGTCTGGCATTTTGTTAACAATCATGGTGCAAAATCCAGATGCGTACAGATGAATTTTGTTGCTCAATGTTAGACAGTGTAAAACAAAAGCAGTATGGAGACATTACGCAAGAAGAACTGAGTCACTTTTACAGCTGCTGTTTTGCAGAAATGGGATTAAATTCACCAGTATGAAGTACAACGTACAAAAAACAAAGTACAAACTTAAGAACTGCAAACCCTCCCTTAACTTCAGTGGTTCCTCAGAGCAGACATTGCCAGTGGACAGAGTGATATGAAAATATATCTGTCAAGGAAATTAATCTAGTATGTTTCTCCTATCTTCCTTTCCTTTGGCATCCAATACCACCAGGAGAAACTATTATTAATTTCTCTTGAGAATTTTCCAATTTCCAAGACAAACTTGAGAATTTCTTCTTTAATGCCATCCAGAATGTGCATTGCATGCACAGTTTTGCATCTTTTTTCCAGATAGGCAGTGCAAGGGGGGACAGGGGACAAAAAGACTGCTGACTAAGTTCATAACAATTACATTTTTTATTTTCTATAATTGGACAGGAAAAATGCAAAACATGAAAATAAATAGCTATCCGGCAATGACAGCCCTAGTAAGCAGGCAAAAGAGAGAAAAATCTGAAGAAACACACAGTGCTTTTAAAGCTTGGAGTCTTGGCAGATGATTTCCTCCCTACATAAAAAAAAAAAAAAACAAACACAAAACCAAAGCCACATGCTCAGGTTTTAATCACTCCCCGTTCCCCATTACATACATCAGAAACTCCCTTCTTTGCAATATTCATGCTCTGAAGCTGCAGACTGTAATGGACTGTCTCTCTGGAGGTGCATGATGTGCTGTCTGAGTAAGAGCTGTCAGATTACCACATCTCCAACAGTCTTTCACTTCCTCACTGGAAAGTATATTTGGTTCTTCCCTCCTTTTCCAGACCTTAAAGCAGTCCCTTTATGAAAGAGTGAGTGTAAACCTTTTCCATCATACAACAGAGCAGAACAATAATGTATCTTTTATGTGTGTGGGTGTACATCCATGGGTGGGCAAACAAATCAGACATCACAACCGCATCTGTATTGTAGTATGTTTTTCACATACCAAGACGAAAGTGCAGGGCTCTATAAGATTATACTTAGTATGTGATGGAATTCATTCTTCTAATTCAAGTCACTTTCTCGACTCCTTGCTTGCGAGTCTACTTTCTGACTTGTGTGTTCATACGAAGAGAGAGAGGATACACACACAAGAATAAGTGGCCTGCAGGTATATCCTGGACTAAAACAAACAGAATAGCAGCTGAGAAACACAGGAACTACTACAACTGTCTGAGGTACACAGGCTCAAGATCAAACCTACCCAAACCCACTGGAAAGTGCCTGTACATATTATGTAAGAAATGGCAGCACGTGTGAACAGTGAGCATAGAACAAACTCAAAATACACCTTGATCCTAAGCAAAAAATCAAGAGGAGGAAGAGTAATGAGAAATCATCACTGAATCTAATATGAATTACTTTACAAGAAGAAAAGTAATCCAGTAATTCAGGCACAAAAGATCTATTTCTAGTGTCCAGAAAACTTTCTGTCTTGTAAGTATGATGTCTTACGTCACAGTGGTCTGCTCTAAACTAAAACAAGCTAGCCAGACACTGTAAAAAAGTAGGCATTCATGAACTTCCCAAAGACCACAATTCTGTCACATCCATCATTAAGAATCTATCCCAAAGCAAAGCTTGCAAACAGATTCAAATATCAATAGTATTTTAATGCAGCTCAATTGAAGAAGTTACTCTTATTTAGGATATTAGAAGCAAAAGGAAAAGCATTAGCTCTTTATTATTCTGTTTCTCAAGCACTTGAAAGTGGTTACAAAATTCAGTCTTCTTAAATTCCTATATGAAAACAGATAATGAAATTAAGAACAATGCCTTGACTGAGCATGCCTTTCTAAATGATCTTCAAAAAGGAAAAGAAACAGAACCATGTGTAAGTAGCGTAATCTCAACAGAAATAATGAATGAGGAAGTACACCCACAAGACATTCCCTTCCTTTCTTGGAAACAGATACGAACTCCTTTCTTGCTTGAAAGACAATCTTGCTGCCATCTTTTTACAACTACAATATAATCACTGCCTAATCATTTTTCATAATTGACTCAATTTTCTATCTCAAGTAGACAGGTGCTGACAGCTTGTCTAAAATAAGCTAAGATGACATAAAAGACTCTGCAAGATTCCTGTTACTGGAAGTATGAAAGGAACAGAATTTCAATGATCCATGAAGCATGTGCGAGACTACATTTACCATCCACAAGATGATGGGTAAAACCAACTTTGTGCTCAGCACAGAACTATTTTTAAAGGATGATATTTGTCAGGGAGAAAAGCAGGCTTCTAAAGTCCCAGGCTTTTCTTTTTTTCTTTAGAAATACTATGGATATAATATATCCTTATTCAGGAGATATATAGATATACATACAGATATAGATATTCAGGATATACAAGTAGCTTTCTTAACTCACGTTTACAAATCTTCCTTTTTGAAAAAAGACTGAAACTTATTGCTAGCATTTACATGCTTATTGTATTCTGCAACAGTCTGTAAGAATTTACACAGATGACTATCCTTATCAGCAAATTAAGTCTATTAGGCAGTGTTCATCCAACCGTCTGGGACACGTCTCTTCACACTAGCTGAAACTCCAGAGTTAAGGTTTCCCAAACTCCCAAAATGTGGGAGGTGTGTGGAAGTCAAGAAGATAAAACATCTGGATTTGCCCCCAGCTGGGGAAACAGACCAACAGACTGTGCATTTGTTAAAGGATGCCATATGAAACCTTGGACAACAAATGAGGCTACCTCCAGTACATTAACAGTAAAACACTTTTGTAAGACTCAGCTTCCTTAGAGCCTCTGTGCTTAAGGCATATCTTGCATTTATACATTACCATTTAGCCAGAAAACCACCAGAGCCAAAAAACACTTTTCAAACCTAAGCTGGCAGATAAACTGAGATCATTCCACACACCATGGAAACACAACCATCTGGTTTAACAACGTACATGATTACAAAATAACCTGACAAATGAAGAAGAAAATTATACACCTACTCTAAAATTATAAATAGTTTTTCTATAAATTAAGTTGCCTGTACAGATAATGCAATTCCTGAAACATAAGGCACAGAAGTCAAAGGGACACTGCCAGAAGAATTATTTTAACTGTACCCTTTTCATCTTAAATAAGCTGAAATACCAACAAATTTAATATCTTTTTAAAATTCTCATTATTTGGTGACCTTTGCAGCATGATTGCTGTTGGCTTTTTCACCGCAAAAAGACCTACTTTTATTCTTTGGCTTCCATTAAAAGAAGCACAATATGAAGCGTTTGCATGGCAAGTTTTGGATGAAGACTCCTAATGACAGAGCAACACCTACCTTTTATTGCTTACTGAAAAAAGTAACTACCAAATATGAAATGGCTTGTGCAGCAGGATCTTCTTTCAAAATGGAAATGACCTAACTTTTACCAAAGACCTTTTCTGGGGCTATGCATGCGCATTTGTTAAGCATTAACTCAGAGGAGAGGGAAACATGCCAGCTGCCAAGGCACAAATACCACTTCACACAGCACCTGCTGCTAAGTGTTCTCTAGAGTTCTGCTGAGTAAGCGACCTGATGCAATCCTGCACAGTTTAGGAAATACCACAGGATGACAGAGTAAAGAGCTATGCCTTTACTGAGTACGTATGTAGAAATTACCTCAGTCAACTAAACTCTGAGACAGCTTATTAGTTTTTACAAAGCTACACGTACTCATGAACTCATGGACACTACTTTTAAATGACAGCTAGGAAACTTCTGAAAAAGAATTATGAAATCATTACTGTAATTTCATTTAAAAGAAAAAAATCCAGGCCATTGTATAGCCTAAACAGTAGCTTTAGGAAACAACCGATGTTTTGCCTTTCACAAAGCTTAAAAACCTTAGATTTACTATTAAAAATATGGTAATACTATCAATTTCAAAACCACCACAAATGCCCAGTTCTTCATAAGCAGTCAGAAGAGAACTGGTTCCATCTAGTGGCTGAACAGGGTTACAGATACTGAGAGAGCTTTCATGTTTCTTACCTATTCCAATTTGTGGCCCCAACAGGAAGAATTATACCAGCACCAAACACCGCACTTCACTGTGTAATAGTGATAAGATACACAAAGTCTGACAGTATACGCATAGTGCAAAACTGCTCTAAACAAAAAACGAGCTAGAAAATGACAGATGTTTTTATCACAGCATTTTAGTGCCATACAAACATCTTGCTAAATAGCGAAGCAGAGACTCTCCCTACAGAACCTTATTTGTTCAAATGCCTTTTATGTTTTGTACTCTACCAATTAGAGATGAAGGCATCTGTCTGAGGTACTTGCAGGACTCGTGTTTTGGAGACTTTAGTGACATCTGTTGTCACAAACACCCATATGAAGTGCAGTTGTGCTATTATCTCCACTTCACAGTGGAGAGATCGCGTACTGACTTAGCTTCTCATAGGGCAGGGAATTTAACACAGCTCCCAAAGATACCAGTCTTGCGTCTCACCCACCAAACTATCTTTTCCCTGCTGTGCCAAAACACTGCACCCCCATTTCTCTTTTCCTTCTGCTGTCAACCCTATAAAATCTGTGAAAACAAACAACGAACAATTTTGAGCATGGAAAGAGCACTTTGACAACCCACCATACAACACTGAGATGAACAATGCTGTTTCACTTGAGCCTCTTGCACCCGATAGGTGCTTTTGTAAATACATAAAACAAATGGCAGGACCTACCTCTGATTTGTGTTGTCATGGAAACGAGCAGTGAAAAATTCAAATTCATGGAAATATTAACAGAGTAATTGGTTCCTGGCTGCAAATCAAAACAAACTTCCGGAGCCTGCTTGTGTGTGGTAAGGTTGAAGGTCATTTCATGAAAGAACTCCTTCTGATACCAACGCTGGCCTTGCACATGAAACTGTAACAAGACAATCACAGCATGGAAATTGCAATGTTTTAATATATCACTTGCATTCAGTCATGTCATGCTCTAAATTAGAAGAAATAGCAGAAAAACACATCACTGCATACAGAGTGCCAAAAATGTTGGCACTGACAGTTACTCAAATTCAAATGCTTCCAAATTTGACAGGAACTGCAGTCCCTCTTGATCAGCTCTGACACTGTTCTAGTTCTTTCACTTCTCCTCCTCCTGGTCTATCCTCTTTTTTATTAGCACTGTAATTTCCCCCAAGTCTTGATTTTCTGCTAACATGTAGGCTTCCAGTAAAAGTGCACTTTCATTGTAGTATACCCTCATGGTGCAAAGTGATGAGTTATAAAAGTAACCTCACATGAACACCTCTCTGGTTTGACTCTGAAGATCAAGTCAAAATCACGTCATTTTGACCGATGTCAAAATGCCAAGTACCCTCCAGGATCTGCCTATAGACAGCTATATTTCCAGGCAAACTTACAGACCCATGAGGTTTTTTTGGTTTAGTTGGATTTTCTGTGTGTTTTGTTGTTGATGTCCCAAATGATCATGAACTTATTAACTTAGGGCCTCTCCTGATCATTCCTCTGTTAATGAAAACTAAAATGCTTGCTGTATTTTAATCACGCTAATTTTCCTTTAAACAGATCCTATGCCTTTAGATAATCTCTGCGCACCTCTTAGCACACGGAGATTGGAGAAAACAGCAGGTGGTCAAGAGTCCTGGCAGAGAGAGTTCATGGAGAAATGCCCTGCTGGGACCAGGGAAGATTGAAGGCATATCACAAGGCAGAGTGGACTGACTCTGCGGAATTTCAACAGCTGTCTGAGTCTGAACATGACAAAGTTGAAAGTACAGATAGGGAAGGCAAAATAGAGTAGGACAGGGGAAAAAATAAGCAAGAAACAGGAGATGACAAAAGCGCATGGTGGTTTCTTTCTTTTTTGAAGTTTGCTGTGCAAGCTTACTCCCTGGGTTTTTATGAGAGATGTTCTTAGAATGAGGAACACTGCTAGCAGTGAGTGTTTGAAAAACTACAGGGTTTTTTTTTTCACATAGGTGATTGACATAAATTGTTTTCTAGATTCAAAATACAGATTGTCACTTACTGAGTATCTATCTTCCACATCAGTTCCCCTGACATTTCTCCGCCATTTCAAGCAGGTATCATTAAAAATTAATACATTATTGAAAGCTTCCTTTACTGTGGAGACGACAAAAAAGGCAACAACTTATTACAAAAACTTCACACCTTCTTCAGATTAATTGAATATGAGTAGCTGAAAATAAAAAAAAAAAAAGGGTTTTATTTTGATTCTCTTCTGAGAAGGAGGTAGAATCTCATTTCTTTTGGAATGAACAAACACAGTAAATAAAGCATGAACATTTTCCAGAGAAAATGGCTTTCAGAAAAACCCAAGCATGCTGCTCAGGAAATCAAGATAGGTTTTATTTGTCCAGACCTAGGGAGGTTATAATGACAGAAAGATCCAGGGGTTCAGACCTTCTGATGGAAATAAAGTTATCACAGAAGAATTTGTCACAGTTGATGCCCTTTAGGAAAAAGCATGTCAGAAAAAGCATTTTTGTGGATTCCAAAGGCAATTATTTTTCAAGGTCTGTCTCATCAGAATTGTATGTCAGAAGGCAAGCTTAAAGTTCCCATGACCAAAATACTACAGAAACCTGCTGTTAGAACATGCCTTCTCTACACTTACTGAAAAACTGCCAGAACACTGCTCATCACTGCTAAACACAGGAACATTATCTGTAATGCTCACATCACTAGATTAATATCACACAGCTCAGCAATAGGGAATTCTCCCACAAGCAGAGAATCCGTTTTCAAGGCAAGGAATGGAAACTAGTAAGCACTGCACCATGGACTGAAATTCCAGCATGTAGCCAGGAATGCGACGGCACCAGTACTGCCTCAGCCAGAAGACAAATCCTGAAGTAGCAAGTTTGCCAGATCTTTCTGAAGGGCACTTACTGCCACTGCTCTGTTTGCTCATAGATTCAATGGCCACAGTGAACAGAAAGAACAACATCTCGCAAAAAAAGAGGATGCTGATGGTGGCTACGTGTGTGTAGTCAGCATAAAGAATGATATAGTCTAGGAGACAGCCTGTTATCCTGTCTGCTAGACTCAAAACAGCGAGCTCTGCAGCACATGAGTTCTACCATAAGCACAGAGAATACAAAACACAACCTACCCTTCGTTTGAACTGCTACTGTAACTGAGACAGTGATGTGTGTGGAAGAGGTGGTAGTAATATTCACCACGTAGTTACTGCCAGAGTTGAGATCTAAACACACCTTTGGATTATCTTCACTTGTAGTGATGTTAAATATCGCATCTTCTGAGAACGTCTTCTCATCCCATCTTTGGCCCAGTATGTGAAACTATTGAAGAATTAACAAAAACAATGGTGCAATTGGTTGTGGCTCTCCAAAATTCAGAATACTAGTTCAATTAAGGCTTGAGAACATAGGATTACATCTGTTGTAGAGTATCAGCTCAATCGAAAAAACAGGTTTGTGACTAACTGTTTTGGTGCAACAAGATGGCTTAATAAATTAGATCTTTAATTTCTTCTGGTTGTTAAAATGATGAATATTTTTTCATATATTTCTACAACAAATAGAAGGAATCTATAATGTGAACCCTACAAACACCTCCAACACAAATAGTAAGTAAATATTCTTTCTTGTTACAGCACACAGATGGAAATTACATCTGCTTGCTACTTTCTTTTCTTCTTTCTAGTTTTTCTCCCCTGCCCTACAGAAGCAGTAGTAAGATTGAACACCAAACAACAGTAAAAGACAAGCTTCCCTAAGATCATCCCAGTGCAGTGAAAAAGAAACCTGTTGTTTTTTATGAGATGAAGGGACAGAAAAAATTTACCTAGGTGAGCTCCAGGCAGTCCAGACTGTGTTCTGAACTTTATTGCACGCATCCTCAGTTTTGACTATTCTAAAGTGTCTTCCAGATAGCTGAATTCACATAAAAGCATGTGCACACAGCACATTACACCAGAGATCTACAGCTTGCCAGTTACTACTGGGTACATGGAAAGCACTGGTTTTGAACTGTTAGGGTAACTGGGAACTTGTTTTTTCTATCTCAGCAGTGCTCAATAAAAGCACTCGAACTAAAAATACATTGGTTTGTAACACAGGAGGAGAAAGATAGATTCTCTTCCAAAATTATCATTCAACCTTGAAACGTATTTTCCACATGAGTCTACCCACCCTGGAGATACTAAATAATCCCCTTTTTCTTTTTTCCCTATTTGTACGTACTCAAAAAAACAACTTTTCTTGGGAGATTGTCATTCACAAAACATAGGAATTTTTATCATGTTGTTTTGGCTTTAAATAACACTGACTGAACTATTTGTTTCTAAGAATTTATATGAACTTTTATTCTTATGTTTATAGATGGGAAAAAAAAAGGTAGTTACCAAGGTTACTTTCAATTTCCATGAAAAACAGTTCTAAAATGTTGAAATATAAGGTGTTTGAATTTCTTGAGCGAGGCACAGTATTTCAATATACCTTGCATTTCTAAAACAAGTTACATCCCGTATCTGCAAGTGATACACTGTTTACTTGAAATGTTTGCATCACAGATAGGGACAGAGCCCAAGTTTTGCAATATTTTCTATGTCAATGTGACCTTGAGCTCTACAACGGAACTGCACTAAAACATAAGCTTGTGCTGAAATGCTTCTTATAGTTTCAAGCAGATGTTTAGGTGATTTACTAGAATGGGGCCCCAACAGATTTTGAGTTTTTCACCTAATTTCAGGACAGGGATTTGTTTCTCTCCTAACCCAGCCACCTTGAGGTTTCTAGGCAGCTCACTGGAAAGACCGAGACAAATTAGCACACAAACAAAACCCACAAAACAAATCTCCACTGCTGATTCACCAGAATTAACCAGGGCAAAACTACTCCCAGTCTCAAATACTGCCCCACTTACTGTGTATGTTTCCTGCACTCCCGGTCTTCCAGTTTTCCTTTGCCACTTCACACACGTTTCATTGAATATGGACAAATTACTGAATAATTCCTCCTCTGTGAGCAAAAACATGAACACAGAATGAAAACAGTTATTTTTTTCTCATGCAAATCTTAACGTGTTTGGAGCAATTGTTTATTTCTTCCTTTTTCTCTGTGGGTTTTTTTTTTCAGGAAAAATAAAACAAGGTAGGCAGAAGTTAGGTAGTAAGTTTTCCCTTAATTGTGTCAGCTGCTAAAATTAAAATACAAGGCTAACTGAAGAAGCATGTTCTGAGCTAATGACTGTGAAGTCCTTAAACACACAGCCAGCATTACGTGATCTGCCATGACTAATGAAAACAAAATACTTTGCTAGGCTTGCAATTTTAGTTCTAATGACTTTACAGATCTTGAAGAGAACATTAAAACTACGTTACAGTTTCCTAACAGCAAAGGAAGAAGCTCATTACCTCCATCAGACTGCTGATATGTTCCTATATATGAAAGCATACATATACAACAGCATTTTTTCTTACACAAGGATCTTCTGTATACGCTGTACTGAAGACTAGAATCTTTCATACCAGGTGACCAATCCAGGCAAAAGAGCCAATGAGAAATTTTGCTCTGCTTCAGACGTTCCTCCTAGTCATAATACATTAAACTTGTACCATGTATAAGTATTCCTGTATTCCTGGTCAAAGTCTTTCATTAAAGTGAGCTTATGACACTATTAAACCACCAAAAATGAAGAGCAACAAACAATGCCCCAGTTCCACTACTTCTGCCACCTGTTCTATATTCTCCTTGAACTTGGCTGCCAGCATCTGGATATCGTGACATACAATGGTCTGTCTTCTAAAGAATCAGCAACTCACAAATCAACTTGAAGATTTTGTAGACCATTGGATCTCATGGATTAGAAGTCTCATTAAACTGCAAATAAAAAAAGTCAAGCAGATTTAAAAGAGCTGTCTGTAAGAAAAAGAGGCTACCAACAAACTTAGAAAAAAATGCTCTTCTGAATACAACAACCTGCATTAAAGCATTCTAAGAAACCTTCTGTGTTAGATTGGAAAAGAGCTTTTTTGTAGCTGAATTAATATTTTCGTTCATTATTTGTTTGGGTTGCTTTTTAAAAGGTGTTGATATTTTTCCTTGTTTTATAATAAATAAAATTAAATAACACAGCCACAGTAAAACACTTTCCAGAAGAAACACTAGATTAAAAGAATGAAGCCCAAAGAACTAAGCATGTAGGGAATACAGCTGTAGCAACCAGAGAGACATCCCCCAACATACCTGTGTTAATTTACACACTTCTAAGAGCTGGCTTATGCCTCAGAGAAAAGGCGCAGCCAGGAAGATCAACTCCTCTGTTCTTTCTTTAGGCAGTTCTCTCACTGCTGTCATCAGACACAGAGCAGTTGCCTTCACGTGACAAAATAATCGAGTAACCTTCCAGAGCTAAGAACAAAAGCTCCTTCTGGTCACAAGTCAAATTGATAGTGAACATATTTGCTCCTCTTCTTTGCTTCATCAGCCTTCAAATAGTCATTCCTTTGTCCTGATACTATAGTATTACATTCACTGCATGACCAAGGCGATACAAATCCAAGCTCATATAGATTCTAAGCTGAAAAACCCTTACTAGCTGCTGAAAAAATGAAGGGAGTTTATAGGACAGCCTTGGTAGATACTTCAGAAGTATTCACACAATACTTGGTGTAATGCCCTGCTGTAAAAGCAACCATAGCCCAGGGCACTCTTCCTCCGTATGGAAACTTCATTACCATTTCACAGGGCCCCCCTTGCAGCACACGGACATGAAGCTGTCACTGAAATATATGAATACATCGATAGTCTCCAAAACTCCTATATGTAGGCAACTATTTAGAACTAAAGTTTAACTGTTCATGTATTTTGCAGCAGTTGATTTTCTTCTTCCTTTCCTTTTTTTGATTATTAAAACTGTCATAAAACCGTTTTCTAACAGTATCTCCCTCTCCACATATTCAACAAATAGATGCCTCACTCACTAGATCAGTTTATCTACCAACTGATTTTAATTTCCCCATTGCAAACTGTCATTAAATATGGAAATGCTGTTGAAAGCTTCCTCTTTTACAGAACAGAAGAAGAAAAGCAGATTAATTTGCATGTCCTCTAAAACAAATTTCCTTACAAATGGCTGTGTGATTAGTTGTATTTAAGTGCTGCTTATCATTATTGTTTTCTGTTTCACGGTAATGTCTAGAAGCTCCGCAGTATTAAGACTTCTGTACCAACACAGAGCAAAACAGTATGTTCAGTTGTTGTATTCTTTAAATCAGATACATTTTTATTAAAAGACTGGATAGCAAAAATGACTCATTAGAGCACAGCCAGAGGGGAAACATTTGCGTATCCATGAGATCTGAATTAAAATGTGTAACAAGAAAGGAAAAAAAAAGTAATCTCCAAGACTGTTCAGCGAGAAAATCAGGCACTTGATTTGTGATACAAATGGCCTTATACAGTGGCCTCCTTGTAAGAAAGAAGGAAGAACTAGTAGCATTTTCTTCTGTAACTACATCAATTTTTCTGTCATGCTTTCTGAACTTTCAGAGGGACAAGGCCACCATGCTATTACCATACATCCACAGAATAGCTGGCAGACTTTTTCTCAAAAATTTCCACTCTACATGGGTAGGAGTGAAAGAGGACGAAAAGCTGTGACACACACAGAGCAAACACCACAACAAAGTCCTGGGCTTTCTGAGGAGACAGCTTTTCCTCACGTACTCTTACTGGTCACACGCTCTTTGTTTGGACAACCAAACGTACAGTAAGTGCTTAGTTTACCATTAATCCCAGTAGCATAAACACAGTATCCAATAATAGCACAAAGGTATATCTGAAAAATACTATTCTCACACCTAGAGGGAAACAGGTTCCCCGACAGATTAGTTCTCCTGTGAAATCTAATGGTGCCAGTGACTTCCAGAGCTTGGGAACTCCCAATGTGAAACGCGCTCTACGTGCCTGGCCTCAGTGTTACGCCTTAGCAGACAGCAGCATCCAGATCTTCAACATATCTGATTTTGATCAACAGCTTTCACTCAAATTCACAAATAAGATGGGAAAAGCGGAGACCCTCAGTTTCCCCATACTGCAGCACTATAAATTTCAACTTGTGATTAACTGAGAAGGGCACTGGATGCCACTGCTGCTCCACTGACCTCCAGGTTACCCTCACAATCTCCTTCCCATCCCAAGGGAAAGGGTCCTAGAAACAGCATGCAAATGCCTGGAGACCAGAGAAGAGGGGAAAAAGATCCCAGAGAAGTCAAATACCAAAAGGCAAATCTGGGAGAGGGTAGAGAGATGCAAATAGCACCTGGCTGTTAGCAGCCAGGAAAGACAGGTGCTGGTAGGGGGAACACAAATGGCAGAATACGAAAAGTGAGCAACAAAGTGATTCAACAGAGCCAGTGAGTGTCTGAGGGGGAGAAATCATCAAGAAAGCCAGAGAAATTAATTCTAAGAAGGAAAACAAGGAGTGAAGGTCTCAGTCGTCTTTACTCCACTTTTAAAAGATCTGCTAGGCAAGAGGTCCTCTCTCTGTGCTTGAGTGTGGGGGAAAATCTTCATAGTAATTACAGCCAGTGCATAAATGGCTGTACTGTCATGCTCTTCTGCCTTAACCCTGTGCTGTGAGGACCAACCTTAATCGTTTGCTTATCAGCCTCTGCGAGTTCAGGTCCCAGTACTCAGTGTTACTGTTTGCTGATTCAGGAAAAAATCCTAACACACAACTCTATGTCTAAACAGTCATTAAAACCACATGACTTCTTCCACATATACAATCCCATAGTCCTCAGCTGAAGGAGCACTTGACTACCACAGACCTCAGCTCGAGATACATCTTATCAGTGAAGTATTTTTGAACTTGCACGAAAGAACAGTATTTACCAGAAAGCAGATAGAACCAGCTCCAATCTGACATTTCATCTTCTGAAACTAGCTAAAAGAGCATCCACACATGCAAATTCACTTAGAGTTCTTCCCACCAATCCCCATACACACATGCAATTTAGGGGAAATAAAAAATCCAAATACTAGCTTTTTTTTTTATGTTTTGCCTGTTAAATTCTGTGAAAACTGTGAATGATGCTGCAAATGCCATCTGCTACTAACATGCACCACACATACGTTCAGACACAGAAATGAAATGAGAGCAACCAACACTACAAAGAGAACTTATGCTCAGACTGCTTCAAGGCACCTGTTCCATAGCCTGCAGGCAAACTTCTCTTGCACAGTAGCTTTCGCAAGTATACATGGAATTTATTTTACAAAGACATATCTTCAGTGTTTATACCTTTTAGGGTAGCATGAGAAGTTTTTATGAGTTTTTCACATTTTAAGTAATATACTTGCTTCCAGTTTAACTAGGATTGCAGAATTTCAGCAGGTTATCCCCTTCAGCCCCAAACTTTACACAGAGGAAATCCACAAAGAAACAGCAAACCTGTAGGCAGAGACAGCCATGCAAGAAGGAGCAGACAGATAGCTAATGATTTACTGCTTCCTTTGGTCTAAAAATGTTACCGGGAGACAATCAGGAGCAGAGTAATTCATGTATTTAACCAGACTTACAAAAACGTAAGAGATGCAACTGTGAGCATACTTACAAAGGAAAGATGTATCAATCAAGGGTGTCAGACTAGACAGGATTAGATCGGCTGGGATTAGAAATGCACGTGATCTACTCCACAACTGAAAGAGGTTCCCCACACTGGAGACTGGTATTTTTCATCACAAACTGGCTAATTATTAATTTGGTTTCAAACAAACAAACTAACAAAAGCCTAAATAGCCCTGCAAAAAGCTACACTTTTGTTTGTTTGTTTCAATTGTCACTGGGTTGCATCACTTTGATCCAAGTAGCACCAAGTAGCACAGGCTCCACCTGTGTTTTTCCAGACAATTAAAGAAATTACCAGATTACCACATCTGGATTTAACATACCAAATTAGGCCTTTATAAGAACTCAGACCAATCAGATCCTTTTCATTGATGACTATAATTAT